GTGGTGCATGTGCCAGCAACTTCCTCAACAAACTGCATGAAGTGCATTGTGATGTGTGAAAGGGAACTCGGAAGATTGCTTACTGGGGCAAAATTGGCCTCCAGTCAGTAAGTACCACCACAATCAGTCTAGGAGCTAAGCCACTTTTCGTCCGGGGGTTGGCCCATAGCTAGTCAGGCAGTTAGTCGAACATAAGTCCAGGGATCGGCTTTGTTTCAATCAGGGGATTGGGCCTTGGTCCTGTAAGTAAAGCAATGTCATTCCTGCCATAGATTTATAGAGTCATATTGCATGGAAACAGGGTCTTCAACCCAATTTGTCCATGCTGACCAGGTTTCCTAAACTGAACTAATCCCATTTGCCTGTAATTGGCCTATATCCCTCTAAAACTTTCCTAGCCGTGTATCTGTCTAAACGGCTTTCCTTGCTGATGAGTCAACCAGGGCCGAAAAGTCTGTCTTGGAAGAATGGCCATTGACAAACAGGTGAGCTATGTAGAATCAATCCATGGCATTGTCAAAGCCGTGGGCAGCTCCATTTGGTCTGCTGGGTTCACTACCTGAGGGAATGGTTACACTCAGAGAGAACAGTTGAAGATAGTAAGGTGAGATCTGATGAGACAGGATGGTCTTTAATGAGGAGTCAAAGCAAATCATGGTCACTCTGACCTCAATGCGGATAGAGTGTAACGCCAGCAATGGTATTTGCACCTTATATGCAACCACTTTTCTACTTAAGGAGGCTGCTTCAAAAGATTTGTTTGCATTTCAGACCCATGGTGCCAAGCTTTGTCTACCTGATATAGAAAAGGGCAGGCAATCAGAGAATCTCCTCACAGGCCTGATCCTGAGTCTGGTGAAGATGGGGATAAACTGGCATAGGTTGTGGGCAGTTGATGAGGTTATTTGGCCAGTCTGAATGCCCATCTTCCATGGTTATTTTAATGGTTATGTCTGTGTCTGGGTGGCCTTGGAGAGAGAGCATGCAGTGTCCATTGGTGCACACAAGGCTTTCTATAACTATTTGGCATGGCAGAGGCTGGAGTGCATTGTTAAATTTCAAAACATATATCAATTTGAAAGTTGTTCTGTAAAACTTGCACCATTGATGTCTGTTATAGTGCCCATTTAAGGATCTGGCACTCTTTTAATCTGGTTTTCTTTGGGTTAATTTGGCTTATTTGGTTTAATTTGATTTTATTTTATTTAACTGCTTTTAGAAAAACTAACCAATACCGTCTTTGTTTCTGAGCCTGACTAAGGTGACCATGAAAAAGTCCAGGCAGCAGCAGTTGAAGGTGTTAATCAGCCCAAATGCCTGCCCCTCTTTCACAGCTATATCCATGCCTGAGTGTACATGGAGAAGGAGCATGTAGTGGCCCTGGTACACGATAGCCTTCTACGCCCGGAGGGCATCAAGGGTCTGGTGTGCATCATTAGGCCTCAAAATTACACTTTTTTTTGATTTTTTAAGTTATATTTCAGATTTTATTTTGTTACAATGCACCTGTGAGGGCTGTTATTTGGTTGAATTTGTTTTAAAGTTGCTTAGAAGAGTAGCTCATACCATCCAATTCTGCCCTAATCTCATGATGCACTGTTTAGAGTATTTATAACTTAATTGGAATCTTATGATCTTTCAAGTCAACAAGAAGTCTATGGAGGATAATGCATTCACTAAAGCCCTGAGCTTCACCTTTGGTCTTCACACAGTCTCTAGGACTGTGAGTCATCACACAGTATCTGCCACATTCACAAACACAAGACAAAGGGTGCTAGGAGAGAGCTTGTGTGGTAGGGTTTGAGGTGGGACACTGTAACAAGGGGCTTCCTGTCAGTTGATTCATACCATTCAGCTGCTCTGGCTTTCTTTGTTGGGCCACTTTGCATTGGGCCAGGATGATAAACACGCACGGGATGAGGTATTGTCAAGCTAGAAAGTAATCCAACTGTAGTAGATTCTAGGCTTCTGTGATGTTGGTGGCAAAGAACCATCCTCTCAAGAACTACACAAATGCTGAATCACATGGAGCACTTAGTGCTTGGGCCCTTAATAAGCAACTAATCTCTGTAAGAACATAGCCAGAATTTACATAGGGAAGGAAGCCTGGCATAATCTCATTTAGCATTCTCACAGATCTGCTGAAAATGAATGAAGCATGGCAGAGGTCAAATCATTGATGTCTTCTTCATAGAGACAGTAAGCTCTGCAGATGCTGGAAGCCAGAGTCAATAAATGTGGAGCTGGAAAAGCACAGCAGGTCAGACAGGATCCAAGGAGTAGGAAAGTCACCATGTCAGGTCAATCCTGAAGAAGGGTTTTGACCCGAAACATTCACTTCCCGATGGCTTCTTCATAACTTACACCGTGTTTTGCTTTTTTTAATCAACTAACCCATGGAGTTAATTCATTTATGATAAGTGAATGATTGCTAAACAATTTCATAAACATGATGTGGTGCAGAACATTTGAAAATATGCTCATGTGGCCTTTCATGCTTGAACAGTCATCAAGCAAGTTACTCTACAGGGGAAACTCATGGCCAACAGCTTCAAAATATACTGAATGCATGATTGCCCTTCATGATTTTTGTTCCATACACAGTCAGAGAGTGTTGAAAACACTGCTTTCTTGAAAACAAACAAATCCCTTTCAAGTTTAACTCACTTGAGAAAGGCAAATGATTATGGTGTGTATGATCATGGTGTGCACTGGATGAATAGCAAGCAAAGAAGGTCAAAGACATATTGTCAGAATAAGTTTAAATTGGAACATAGCAGACCTCACAACAGAATTTAAAATGTTTAAACAGCGCTCAGATTTATAGTTTCTAGGTTCAGGCACAAATTCTAAAATACATGTACACACAGGGTACATGACATAGGTAGCCATCATGAAGCCTGCAAATGTAACCCCTCCAGCATACGACGGTTCACCAGTTTCATATGTATTATCAATAATGATGGATTGTAAATGCAATCAATATGCCTGGGAGCTGTAGATGTTCTACATTGAAGACACTGCTGGGCCAATGATTGCAGGCATACATGCACGCCACAACTTTGCACTCATCATCATCCCTGGAATCATTCAAACATAAACAACACAACAGAAACTGCAGCACACTTTTCAAGAAGCACTTGCATGACCAAATAGGAGAGAAGAAGAGAAACTTTAGTTATTGGAGCCAAGATCTTGACTCTTTACTGTTGAAAGAAAAATGAAAGTTCAAGAGGAAAAGGCTAAACAACTAGCTTTTGATAAATCCAAACATAAAAATGCTATTTCTGAGATGATGAAATCTTTGGTGGGTACGTCTACTCAGGTCACAATGATCTTTGAAGAGCTGAAAGAGAAAGAAAGGAAGAAAGAAAGGAACTACAAACTTCATATCACCAATGATCAGAGTGAAGGGATGAGGAAAATATTCTTCGATCGGAGGGTGGTGACTCTGTGGGACTGATTGCTACAGAAAGCTGTGGAGGCCTAATCATTGTGTGTCTTTAAGACAGAGCTGGAAAGGTTCTGAATTAGTAAGGGGATCAAAAGTTATGGGAGAAGGTAGGAGAATTGGGTTGAGAAACATCAGCTATGATCAAATGGTGGAGCAGACTCAATGGGTAGAATGGTCTAATTCAGCTTATCCAATTAAAAAAATACACCAGATAACAGGAAGATCTGGAGCAACTCAGGTAAAGCAGATCAGGATTAGTAGGAACAGCAATAGAAACATCAGCTTGAGCTCAAAGCAATATTGGGCAAAATGAATGAGAAACATCTTGAGCCATCATGTCACACCATTGCCAGCTATTGGACAATGACCTGTGCTGACAAGGTCAGGGTGCAATCCCATCCAGTAATTCTAATGATAGCACCTTCCCCTAATATCTTTGCCAGTGAAACATTTTTGTATCTACTGGGGACCGCTGAGGCATTTCACAGTCTTCAACTCATAAGTACATCTGGAATATTAGTGATCCCCTCATCACAAAAGGCGACCACTTCATCTCTTTGCTCCTTGACATGATAAGTCAGGTAGCTAGGGCATTAGCATTCACAATCATCACTGATTTCTGCAGATTGAGAGTGCAATCAGTTACACCCTCATACCAATCAGAGCACTCTATCATGAACCAGCTGTCTTTGTGATCAGAAAATTACTTGACTCCCACAATATTCAAATCATTGATGACCACAATAGTCAAATATTGCTGACCTACATTGGATATCCGGTGAGTTGCTTTGACTCATACATCCTGGATCTCTCAGGTGTTAGCTTCAAAATATTATATGGTCTGGAGGAAGCAGACAGGGAGAAACTTCCCATTGCTGGACAGATTAAGGACAGTGGGGGGATTTAAGTTGAATGGCAACCAAACATGACTTGAATAACTTTTGAGCAGTGAATGATTATGAGGAATGGATTGTCTGTGTGGTGAATGCAAACATAATTTTTGCTTTCAAAAGGAATTTAGATAACATTTGAAGAGAAACATTTGCAGGGCTACAGGAAAAAGGTTGTGGGAGCAGATGAGTTGCTGTTTCAGAGCCAGCATTGACGCCTGCCTTCTGTGCTGCAACCATTCAACTATTCTATGAACTATAATCTTATGCGTACTCTTGGTCTGTGGTCAAACAAATCCTCAGATATAAATAAGCTCTATTAATCCCAATAAGAACAACTGGCACAGATGTAATGAACTGAAAGTCTTTCTTCTATGTGATATTTTCTACGGTTGTATCATTTTGTGAAATTTAAAGATTCTGCTATAATTGGGCTCATTCCATGTTGTGTTCAGAAATACAGTGATTGCCTTTAGAAAACTGTACATTTAGTGATCACTGTGATATGTTTTTCATTTTTCCACTCAACCACAGTGTGAATGAAATCCCATGATATTACATTATGATCCCCTCTGGTCTCTCCTACAGAATGCAAATGTGCGAAAGCTACCTGGTAAACATTGTGTAAGATGTGGTGCTGGCTTTTTCTGTTACAGGGAAATTAATAAACGCCTAACAGAAGAGCAAGGTAGAAAGACATTCGATAGAGCTCTGAAGCTGGAACAGGAATTTGGAGAACATTTTACAGGTGTGTATGCATTCACTCCATGAAAGTAAAACATTTGAGAAGAAAATTAACAAGTAATCAATGCAAAATATCATAATTTGTTTTCCTTGTTACATAAAGGGTGGCAGTTTTAATATTGTTACAGAGATAGTAGGAACTACCGATGCTGGAGAATCTGAGATAACAAGGTGTAGAGCTGGATGAACACAGCAGGCCAAGCAGCATCAGAGGAGCAGGAAAGCTCCTCTGATGCTGCTT